ATTAATATTAATATTAATATTGATAATATTAATAATAATAATAATAATAATAAAACATAATAAAATAATAATAATAATAATAATAATGATAATATTAAAATAAAATATTAATAATAATAATAATAAATAAAAAGTACGATCAAAAATCTGCTTAGGCTGACTGTTAACTCGCGAAAGACGTATTGTATTTCTGTAGGGAGGAATTGTCCTAATAATTGCGAATCGAAACATAAGATTAAAAAGCAACAAAAATAAAAAAAAAGAAAAGGAAAAAAAAAAAAGGAAACGAGCAAAAGCGTAAAGCAACTTCACTGAGAGAACGTGAAAAAGAAAAGCCCATAATACATAACAAGAAAATATAGAGACGTGTGAATCACCAATTTATGGATGAATGAATGCGCGAATATTAATGAATGGATGAGTATAATGATGGACGATCGACCAGTCTTCTTGGCTGATTGGCGTGCGTGTGTGTGTGTGTCACTTTAGCGAGCAAAGTATTTCGACGAGAGTATAGTGTTCGGAATGTACATAATTCTTGTATATAACGAACGAATCACTGATTGTACAATACCACCCAAATATATTTATATTTCATGTTAATGCAATTTTTCTAAAAAGGACCTACTTTTTTTAATCTACGCATATATCGTCCATAAATTTAAATACCATTGCATGATGATTTTCGACGGTAATGCGTTTTATTAACATATTTACTACAATGTATTTAAAATCGTTCATCGTCATTCTTGGTAAAAGCGGAAATTGATGTCTAACGTTCTCATCGAAGTGAGAATTTTTTCCGTTCCCTTTTTTCTTTCCCCCCTTTACCTCCTTCGGAGTATCGATTTAATGGATGGGGTAAGTACGGTAGCATGTTAAAGCATTAAAACGAACTTTATAACATAATAGGGTACTTTCGAATTCGTGCGATTATTCGGCGATGGAATGGAATATATATATATATATATCCATCCCATATCGTGTTATTTCTTCGTGTGCATTTGCAGTGGCAATTATGCGTCGACCATGATACAACACGTGGTAGTCGGGACGGTCTAATTAGTCCTTGGAATCGGTAAAGCCTTTGTTAAAGTCGACTTAATCCTATTGTTAGTTTTTATGTAAGCAAAAGGATTTCACGGAAACAGAGAAACAGAGTAAAAGAGAAAAATTTTAAAAGTATATTTAAATGATCGAATAATATAATTCTATTTTATTAAAGGTTTATATATTACATAACGGAGATACATATAACGTTAGTTGAATTCATACTTTTACAATATGACTCTTTTCGACATCATAAATTACAGAGATAAAAACAGTAGAAAAGGTAGTTATTCAGAAGTGAAATAATAAAAGAGGTGCGGAACTAGAATGATACTATATTTAATAAAATGAAATAATTAAGTTAACACTAATGATATAATAATATTTAACCGATATCTACGAAATGTTGAAAATTCTCATTATATAAGAATACATTTGCAAATAATGAAAATACAATGAGAGTTTGGACTTGAAATATTATATTTCCGTATAGGAAAAGTCATGATTATAAAGGTATTTAATAGTTAATTGATAAAACACGATTATTTTGTAAAACAGAAATGACTGTACAACGTTTTAATGTGAATAAAAGAAAGAATATTCTTCGTTCGTTAGTAACGTATGCTTAAGTTGCATCGTCAATAACAAAATCTAAACAATTCTAAAGCTTCTGCAATTGATTGTACTTTGTAGGTAATTCTTTAACTAGTGGAGCCACCATTTTTTCGAAGAACGAAGCTCTAACTGACTGTTAGACTGGTGCTGCTCTTCGGGTCAAGTGACAACTTGCAGCAACGATAGAATAGTAACGATTGGTTCATTTTGGACATGCGTATAAATTGTCCAACTTGTCCAATTCCAAGCACCAATCAGGTTTAAATAGATATGTGAATAAATAGAACATGTCGACGTTAGATTACATAAGTATTACAGATTTCAAAATTCTTACGATTGAATATAATTAGTTTTTGAATTATAAACGAAATCACTACATTTTTATATCTTCATACGATAAATTTTTAAAAGGAAGATTATAAACAAGATTATATGAAGAATCATCTATAGTCTCTACGATCTTTTTCTAGGAACATTTATATAACACGTATGTATGACCGTTTTCTTAATGTAACGCGGCCTTTACAGATAAGAACCATATACTATTATTTGTAAATGACACCTAAAGACAAATTAAATACCGGCTGACAAGATTATATGGAAGCATGATCCATGCCGCAAGAATTGCTTCAGTTTACTAAGAGTTCCTGAATGAACACGTTTAATTATTCTCATTAAAGTTTAAAGTAGTAAGTGTGCGAGTCGCTGCAAACCTGTCTGTGTAATATGTATTATTTATGCGTTTTTCTGTTAGTACATTTAAACATTTAATAACTTCTTTGAATACTCCTATAACTTAACCTCTTTACTAAATAGTTTATTTCTTAATGAACATTGACAGTTATTTTGAGTTCATTTTTTATTTGGGGAATCATATGATATATCTAATATTGAATTATTCTTTGTTTTTTTAGAAAATTGCCAGAATTGTGGACTGCAATAACGAATTTTGTATATTCGAAGAAAAGTATTATATAAACTTTAACACTTGATTAAAGTCCAAAATCGTGAGAAAAACTTTGTAATGTAACGTTATAACATATATATTTATTTAGTGGAATAGAAATTATTTTCATGCAAGGTTTTCTATCGTAAAACGATTATTGAAGTATAGTTTAAATATACGGACCAATCTTACAATTCTACGTCACACACAAACTACATTAAATTCTATTGTGTTATTAATAAAGTAAGTATATTTAAAAGAATTCTATATATAAGGTTAATTTTATTATTTTTTTTTGAATAAACTAATTTCTATAGATTATATACAAAATACTATTTAATTATTCAATCTTGTATGTATTTTTTTTTTCATTATTAGTTTACAATCATGCCTCTGATCCGTCAAAGTGGTAAAGATACTATCATTTTTGCATCTAAAGAAGATCATGCAACGCCTTGTACGATCGAGCTTCCAGAACCAGAACCAAGTCCTGGATTGATATTACCAAATGGGGATATTAATTGGAATTGCCCGTGTTTAGGTGGTATGGCAACTGGTCCTTGCGGTTTAGAGTTCCGTGAAGCTTTTTCATGTTTCCATTATTCTACTGCTGATCCAAAAGGCGCTGATTGCCGTGAGCAATTTACAACTATGCAAATATGTATGTCAGATTATCCTGAATTATATGGTAGTAAAGAATCAGATGATGATACAAATCAAATATCGAACTCTGAGATGGGTACTGTAAAAGACGTCGCTGTGGAAAACAATGATAAAGTTAAAAAAGAAGCGAACGAAGGAAGTTGACTGAAAGAAACAAAACGAGACACTTCTAGTAGAAATGAAAAAATGGAATATGTTGCAATAAAATAAAATCAATGCACTGAACATTTTACAATACAGATTATCTTATTTTTTATTGTTATTATAGCTATTGAAAAAGGGACTGATTAGGAAACCTGGCGGCAAGCTGATGCAGACTTAAATAGTCTAATGTATACATTTGTCGTGCATACAAACAAAATATATTTATGTCACGTTTACCTTTTCATTTCATTAATATTTGTACAGAGTCGCGTAGAAGCGTAATTACAATTAACAAGAGAAAGAATTTATTTGTAAAATGCAATTCGATGCATGATTTTGTTCATGAAGTTCAATATTTATGTTTTCATTAGGAATGAATTTAGCATACTGTTGCATACATTTTTATGAATTGTCGTATCAATAATTTTTGTTTGGTTGAATAAAACTCAAACAATAATTTTTATCTGTGTGTATATGTTTAATTCTATACTATCAAGGGAGGAAATAGTTTGTTAGAATTTTTAAAATAGCATTATTTTCTATGAGAAAAATTCCTTTAAAAATACTATTTTTTCGAGAATATTTTACGTTTAAAAATTTAGTTTTTTACAAAATCTTAATAATTAGGATGAAATGTTTGAATCTTCATTTTTTAAATAATCACTTCATTTATCAAACTTTGTTAAGAATTGTTTGGTACGATAGGTGCGGAAACGCTGTTTTAGACACTTTTATGTATTAGGATAATGAACATTCATAATATTTCATCGAAATATTTAAAGATAGAATCATTATCACGTGTAATGGATGATGCAATACGAAACTTGTGAAATTTTTCTTCCACTGCCTCCTACCATTTTTGATAATACAGTGTATTCATAATATTGTTTTTATTAAAGACATTTAAATATGAAAATTTCTTTGCAGTAAAGATATAATTATAATAAATTTAACATTATTTCAATTTATCAAATATTATGTCATAAACAACATTTTTATACGAATATAAAATTTATTTTTATGGTTGTGGCTGCAGTTCAGCACGTGAGTAAGGTTGGTAGTATTGAAATGTATCGCGAGTTCATGTGTTACATTGTATTTTGTTGTGATTTTAAGTAAAGGGTATTGTGATAGTTTTTTAAATTGTGTTACAGAGATAATACAAATAATTCTGCTTGTTTTTTAAATTTCCAAGTAACATGTATTACTTGGACGTTTGTTTGTGAGTAATTTTACTATTATTTTCCAACTCAATAGTCAATAGTCTGCTGCAAACATAACCTATATGTGCATCATTACATTATATATCATATTAATAGTTGAGTTTTTAGCTTTGATGATTTGTTGTTTATATCTTCATATATTATATATGAAGAGATTTAATTGAAAATGTTTATAAAAGTTTATATTTGACCAAAAAATTGTATTTATTTTCAGAGAACTTCAAGATTCTTCTGATATAGAATTAAGTCATGTAAACTTAAAGAAAAACATATTAGAAGCAGTGAAGCAATTTTTTGGAGAAGAAGGAGCCAAATCTAAGATTGACATATTAAAATACAATATCCCAGAACGTAGGTTCATTTTACGTTGTGAAAATGGTTTTTACGTTAAATTACGAGCATCATTAACAGTAGCAGGACACTTCGAAGGCAAGCCATGTGTATATAACGTACACAGAGCATCACCGAATTTACTATCATTTGTTGGTGATAGTAGAAATTATGAACATTAATGAGTAACATTTGAACGATCGTTTTATACCTTTTACACCTTCATCGATAAATCGTCATATCAGTGTTCGAAGGAAAACTTTAAACAATAACTTTTTGTATAATATCTATATACAAAATCGAATTAACGATTAATTGAATAATATTTTGTTGCCATTAAGATATTCAAATTTAGCGCGTAGTCGAAAGTAGTTACAATTTTCATCAACAGAGGGCACACCTGGTGAGAGGAACGAGCATCCTACGTTACATAGGCTATCCAGTGACGTCATCTGCTGTCTCTTCTCCCCTCTCAGGAGTCGGCTCACCCTATTAGTCGTCCATACGTACAAATTCCGTGGACAACAGCAGCACCACACTACCACCACCACATAACGGTAGACTTTACTCGATTGGATAGATAAAGACAGAAGGAAAGAGAGAGAAAGATATAGTAAATGATTGTATATGTGTGAGAGAGAGAGAGAGTGAGTGAGCAGTGAAGGCTCGGCACACCACCACTATTTCCTCTGATCGACGTCACCGTAGTCGCCATCGCTATCGTCCGTGCATAGTGCCCATGAGTTTGGCGTTTGCCCTGTGTGTCGTGTTAATAGTAGGATGTTGTTTATGTTAACGACCTTTAACGCGCCCAAAGTAACGAATAGGACATTGAATAAGTGTTCAGTGTAGAGTGACACTTGTTTATCGAGAAAAACAGAAATAGTTTATTTCTTTTTTTTCTAATTTCTTTATATATATATCAATTTTGATAACGGTCGTGTGTGTATACATATATATATACAGAGAGATATACAAAGAGAAGTGAAAAATATAAAGAAGAAAAAGGGGGTCGCGTGCGCGCGTGCAAAGTGCAAAGAGACAAATATACATTTATATAAAATAAATAAAAGAAAAAGAGAGAAAGTAAGAAAAAAAAAAAAAAACATAGAGAAGTGCAAAAAAATAGATAAATAGATAGATAGATAGACAGAGAGAAACGAAGAAACTGGTGTTATTAACAGTCCTGTGTTACACGTTCCTTGGCAGTGACCGAGAGTGTACCGGGCTGTATTTTTTCGTTACGAGAAATTCTATTCTACCTAAACCACCATGGAAGTATCGAAAAGAGAAAAGAAGCATAAAGAAAAGAGGAGGTAAGACTTTTATCATACTTAATTTCATTTTCCTTTCCAATCTTTCTGTCTCTTTTCTTCTTTAATTTTTAATCGATTGAAAGAAAAAGACATAAAAGTAAATCAACCGATTGGTGTTTTATTCGGAGTCCTATTTTTCTTCTTACACGACACTGCTTGCTTTTAACTTATATCGCGTGTCATCGAGGAGACGCTGGTTCTAAAGAACATTTTTTTTTTTTTGGTAACGATACGACATGATGGCGAACGTAAAATGGAGCGACACACCAAGCGCATCATTTTTTGTCCCCTTTGAGGGCATGTCAGATGCACTGTTTTGTATCATTTTTCTTTCTTTCTTTCTTTCTATCTTTCTCTCGCACGCACGCACGCACGCACGCATGCTCACATTTCTTCTACTTTTTATAATTCTACATTTTTACCGCGTCTTCTGACTTTTTTTTTTATTCAAATTTCTACATGTGGAATTGTATATACATGTATGTAATATATTAAGATTTGAAAAAGATAATGTATAATGACAAACAAACACGATATCTATTCTCAAATATTTTATGAGTTAATATTACAACAACATTATTACGATTTCAGGTGATTATTTGTAACATTTATTGTGTCTTATCTAATTGTAAGCAAAATATTATTAATTTTAATGTTATCTTTGTGTGAAAATATAACTTACGAAATTGTTCTTTTTTTTTTTTACTTTACATTTTGTTTCTTTCAGAATCCACGAATGTGCGTGCATTAATAATGAATTATTTTGTATGTTATCTTGTTATTAATGCAGTCTTTTTTTTAATGACTAAAAGAAATAAATATTGGATGTATTTTTAATCTCTTTTCTGATATTAGTGTTAGTTTGATATTTTATGTTTATTTTTTATATACTCATGTTTAATATGGAATTAGAAAGAAATTTGGATGATAAAAAAAATCTGCGTAAATCTATTAAAAGGTATGGCATTTTATTAAATTTTGCTGTTGTTTTGTTGTTGTTGTTAAATATATTTCTCTCGAGTCACTCTAATTTATAAAAATGAAATAGGCGTACAATAAACAGAAGAATACGGTTTTTAATAATTCAACAATTATTGTTTGGCAAAAATGAAATTGTATGTTATTTTTATGTATTTATTTTTATATTTTTTACAAATTTTTATTGTGTACATTAATTTAATCTTCATAGATTACAATATATAATTAAATTTAATCGGATACTTTTTACAGATTTACAAAGGATGTTGTAGAAAAACGTAGCCTATGTCGGAGCTTCTAAAAGTATGTCTCACAACCCCGTGCAGGATAGCGTAACTAAATTTAGGGGTTTGTCGAAATGTTAGCAAATCTAACCAAATTTGTATGAATATTTTACAGTCTCTGATACATGGTTTAATTATATTCGTATGTATAACAAAGTATTGTTCCCAAATAAATTGTCCTTTATAATTTATTATTAGAAAATGTTTTAATTCGTGAAAGATGGTCGCCAAGTGGAAAAGTTTAAGAAGCCCTGGTCTATGCCAATACTTTGATTCAATTTTGTATATACATAGTGCAATAGAACACGTGAAACTTACTTTGGGAATTGATTGTACACTTTAAAATAACGAAAAGAGTTCACATAAATATATGTTCTATCTGTTTTCGTTTATGAAATATAACCAATCTTCTGTTATCTAGTTTCTAGATACAAGTAATGCTCAAAATTACCATATTGCATTTCACTGAAAGCCCGTAAACGTTTTATCGTAGATCCAATTATACTTTGAATGGTTTTTACTGTTTCCCGAATTTATTAAAATGTTTGTTCTATGTCAAACCTTAGTATTTAGTATTTAAGTTAGAACTGTTTACAAACATAGTTTGCTTCGTTTAACGAACTTGTTATATCTCATAATTAGACAAATAGAGCATATGTTTAAATTTACTTGTTTATTATTTTTATGTGCAGGATAAGCCCCTAAATCAACCTAAGTATCATTCGTTCTGTTACACCATGTATATTAAAATTTTGTATTATTTTAGAAAATGGGCGTCGAATACTTGGCCTTTAAAACCCTACGATGCGGCCCGCATACTCTACTAAACTAAATTTGTTGTCCCATTGTTCATGTAGTCAGAGTTTTAACATCATTACTTTAGAAGTTCAATTAATTCATTTTCTTTCACTTGCAACCATTTGATGCTTTCTCTTTAGTTTCTTGTTGTGATAAATTATTGTTCACACTTCGTATTCACCTCTTTACATACTCTTATTTTCTTTCTTTCAAAGAATTCATTACACTCAATCATTCTCTCTCAGTGTCCAATATAAATGAATCGTCCAAATGAACTTTATTATTGGTCAGCTTTGCCTAACGGAGAATCTACGTCGTGCGTCAGAAAATGTTTATTTCTCATTCCATTTCTTTCTCTCTTTCTTTCTTTCTTTCTTACTTGCATTATTTTTTCTTTTGTTCACAATGCACATTGTATCTTGTATATGGTCGTACACAATCTATAGTACCAATGAAATCATTTTTTACTTTAGTGACTTATTGTCAACGATACGTAGAATCCGAATCGTGGTAGGTCATCAATTAATAATCGTTTTTTTTTTACGGTCCGTGCAATTTTTATTTTGATCAGACATCAATTTATTTACATATACATGCATAATATACGTGCAATATCATAGTGGTGGACATCATATACTCGCGACCGTGTAAAGAACCCAGAAATTCTTGAGCAATTTTTCAACGTAACGATTTCTCTTTTTCCTTTCAACAACCTTTTTAATTTTTTTTTTTTTCCTCTAGCTCGACTTTGTAATTACGGTCAAGTGATGCCTTTTTTTGGTCTCTATTGTTTTACTTTTTTTTTCTTTTTGTTCTCTTAAAAGAAATGTAGCACGAAAATTTCGGATTTAAGAAACTCGCGTTTCAATTCAAATCCGTGACGATAAGAAAATGGCGGAACTTGAAAATTTCGTCGTAGATACGTTAAAATCAATACTGATAAATTTCAAAGATAAATATTACGAGCTTATCGATTAATTCTTCGTTGTATTTTCTCCCACATTTCTATATAGAGTTATTTATAATTGTAATATTTATTAACGAATTTTTTTCAAGTCGAATAATTACAGACCATTTTTCGTTGGTCTCGTTTCTATTAGGAAAAAAAGAATAGTTTTTTGAAATGAAGTTTTTATACTTGAAAATATCAGTGCGGCTTTTATTATCACGAGTATTATGACGCACGAGTTTCCCTCTTCCTTATTATATAGCGTATATTTCCAAAAGAAATTTATTTAGTGCGTTTGCCCAATCACATTGCCAATTGTCAATTATTAGATAGAAAAATTTTAGATTAGTATCATTTTTGAGAAAATAATTTCAACGTAGAACGAGAGTCTTTAATTTTTAAATGTTTTGAAAGATATCTATCTTGTTTAATATTTCAATATTTGCTGCCGACTATTTCTATTTTGATTTATTTATTTATTTTTTGTTTATTTATTTATTTATTTTCTTTCATTCTTTTTATTCCTTCGTTAAATATTTTTTTAATTTCTTCCTTGGAATGATCATTCGTGATAGTCAGCGAAACTCCAACGGTGTATTATTTTTAGAAACACGGAAGAGTATTTTAGTTATTTTCTTTGAAAATACGAATATCCACGAAAGTATATTGAATTTTAAATTTTGCATTTTTACTTTTTTTTTTTCTAAATTTATTAATTATCATATATCTATGTAGTTTCATTTAAATGTTATATTCTATTCTAATCGAAATATATATTGTTCTAATTCGGAAGATAATTTACATAATAATTCAAGTAAATTATCGCGTTAATATATATATTTGTATAAATACCTAGATAAATATACATGTGCATATGTATATATGTATATATTGAGTTAGAGTATTGCGTGCAGTAATCACACTATGTAACCACAAACGCATTAAAATGAACTCATAGATAGTGATATGAACGTTACGATTTCACGATGGATAATGTTGAAATGAAGACAATTTATAGATAACTATTCTTTTCCATCCCATGACTGTTTTTATATGACTAGAATTTCTTAGTAATTTTAAATCATCATTTCGGAAATAAAATGTTCGAAAGAAAAATTCTCACTTATATATTAAAAATAAACATGGAAAGAGAATGACACACAAAACGTGTATGTTATTTTAATTTATAATTTTAACATCTGGAGTGATAAGCATGCCATAAACGTTACGATATCGCGTTACTATCCTAACAGATGGATTATGTTTAATATATATGTCATGAATTATATTCGATAGGTTAACGTACGAATAAAATAATATTTATTCATTAAATAAATTTTATTTTCTTGTTTTAATTAAAAGAAATATTTTCATCTTCGTTTATCTCTCTTTTTATCTGTCTTTTTTTCCGTGTGCGCGCGCGTATTTCTGTGTGTATTTTATCATGCAAGTATTGCATTGAAAAAATAAACCTTTGCTGCTGAGAATAAAGAACGAAACTGGTAAAAAAAAAAAAGAAAAAGAAAACGAACACGCCTTACGGTATTCGCACGAAACATGCAAAATAAATAATACGTTGTTACGAATGATTATTATCAACATTTTTTTTTTCCAATCCTCGAAATACGTCTGTGGGAATTTGTAGCATGATCGTGATCACATACGCTCGAATTAATTCTAAGAATTCAAGGAATAACGAGAAAACAGAAAATGTCAATTATAAAGACGTCTAGATATTAATAATTTACGTCACACAGAGATTAAAATTATGGTCAGTAAAGTTTGAAGAGGAAAAGAAACGGAGTAACGAATGAAATAAAGACAGAGAGAGATAGAGAAAGAGGAAGAGAGAGAGAGAGAGACAGACAGATAGTGGCTTTGCCTTCTGGGTTTCAACGGTCTCTCTATCTTCCTTTTTCTCTCTTTCATACAGCTACCTAACACGCAAACGCATACGGACACACATCAACACTACCATCTTTACACATACA